TGTATTATTATTTATAAAATATCTTACGAAATTTATCGGTTTTAGCTGTTCAAATAAAGGAGTTTTACAGTAAAATCCCATATCTGAACAATCAGATGTATGGAAGATATATGTTTTAGTCACCCGATATTGTTATTTCACTGTAAGTATTCTGTTAATAATGAGTGAAAATGGTGCGAAATTTCATGTTCCTAGCTGCATAAATGGAGGAGATATGATAAAAGACCTCATATCTGAACAATCAGTTGTATGGGGGCTGCAGGTTATAGTGACCGGATCTTCGTTATTTTCACTGTAAGTCTTCTGCTGACAATGAGTGAAAGCAGCGCGAAATTTCATGGTCCTAGCTACATAAATGGATGAATTATAACGAAAAATCGCATATCTGAACAATCAGTTGTATGGGAGCTATATGTTATAGTGGTCCGATTCTTCCGGTTCCGACAAATGATTAATACATTATGAAAATACACCCACCTACCAAATTTGATCCGGATATCTCGAAAACTGAGAGACTAGATTGCATACAAACAGACGGACAGACGGACATGGATAAATCAACTCAGCTCGACGTTCTGATCATATAAGTATACATTTTAATGGGTCTATCTCTTTTTGTTCTGGTACTTACAAACATCGGACTAAAGTTATAATACCATTTCATTCTCATGAAAGGTATAAAAATTTGAGTACACAGATAGATCGGGTTTTTAATTCTAATGAAATAAAATCAAGTTTTAAGCAGCTAAAAAATCGAGTTGTTTTTTAATGAATTTTGTTTCCCGGCGGATTTTGCGGTTTTATGCATATAACAAGTGCAATTTGCAAAATAGAGCGTTCATTTTTTTAAATTTTGTTTGCAAACGGTCATGCGCATTTTATTCTACAAGAAATTCCCTTTTATATGGTTAAAAGTGCAAACAGCCGTCAGCAATAAAAAATCATTATTAGGCATGTTTTATTCAACCATCACAAGCAAATAGCTAAATCTTGGTCAAATAAAACGAAATTAGCTTATTTCCTATGTTAGCCTAATTTTGACAGTTGTTTGACTGCAAATTGTGTCAAAGTAAGTTGTGGCTCTTTCTGATTGGCTGAAGGAGAAAATTTCTTATGCCGAATGGCAATGCCTCTTGTTCAATATACAAGCCAAGATAGCTTTTCATAAGCCAATATAATTATGTTGGGTAAGTCGTCCATACAAAATAAGCTGATAGCTTAAATTTCTGGACAAATAAAACACGGCTAATATCAACGCGATTTTTTAGCCGCTTAAAACTTACACTTGTTTTCTTAGAATTAAAAACCCGATATATGTATCTGCGTAGGTACTCAAAATTTTTCTAAATATTCAGATTAAAGAGGTCAAAATTTAGACGAAAGTTCGTTAAATTTTTCTAAGTTCTGTATAAAGCTTAAAAGTTTGACTTGTATAGTTTTGATTAAAGCATGAACCACATTTTTATAAAAAGATAATACAAAAAAATTTAATTGAAAAACATTGCAAATATTAAGCAAAAAACACCATGCGCTCACTTTTGATTGCCAGTCTATGTATGTATGTACATATGTGTGTAAACTTCATGCCAAACTATCATTATTTTAAATTGTATTTGCATCTTCATAAAAGGAGAACAAGATAAAAAATTTAACAAGAATTACAAATTAATGAAAATTATGTGAAGATTTACCATATTTTCGTTTATTTGCTCGCAAAGAACATCACATTTCATGTTGCTCAACATTGTATTATGTTATCAACATTAAATTCAACAGAATTTCTACATTCCGACTTGAACTTTTCTAACGCTGTTAATTTTTCGTCCGCGAATAGTTTCCACTTTCAGTTTGCACCTGCTCTATCTATCTAAGTTCTCTGACGAAATACACGAAGTATAGTGTTTGTTTGTTTGAACGCAGCGCTGCTTGTATATATGTAAGTTTCGCTTTGCGCCTTCCTGAAGCTTAAATTAGTGGTGACATAACCATAACCATATAAAACAGCTGTTCCAATCAACCTTATGGGCAACACTGTATTCGATTAGTGGTGCCATACCATAACGCCATAGCCATAACCATAGCCATAGAGACCAATTGAATTTTGGTTTTCCGCCATAACCATAAACAGCTGATATCTGAATTGCGTCATTTTGCGCTTTTATTTTTCGCGTCACTTTGCAAAAGGTTATTTTTTCAGTATATTGTCTAATTTGTTTTGTTTTTTTCGCGTTCGGTGCAGTTTACAATTAATCCTGTTGCAACTAATCTTTTCACAAGACATTCGATCTCAATTTCCTCATTTAGTCACAGCAGTGGGATAACCTGGCGCTCGAATGCACGATGTGTATTGGATAAACCCCACTCAAATCACAAAAAAAAAAAATTGTTGCACTTTTCATTATGTAAGTTTTAATTTGTATTTTTCGCCCGTGCTTTTCATTTTCATGGTGTTAATATATTATTCAGTTTTTCTTCGTTCAGTGCACTTAAGTATTTGAGTATTAGCAATGGATGATGAAAAGCTTATTGAGTTTGTCCGGAGCTGTCCCTGTTTGTACGATAAAAGTCATACAGACTTCAAGAACCCGGAGAAAAAAAGACGAGCTTGGCTGGAAGTTGCCAACAGTTTGGAAGTTGATGCCCTGTAGGGAAACCCCGAACTGTTGAACCAAATTTGTAGTTCCATACTAGATCTTTATCGCCAAAAATGAACTATAGGAACTATATAGGAACTAAATCCCCACCAGTCCAAAATCGGCGAAAAGTGGTACTTTTAAAAAACTAATTTTTTCAGTTTTTTTCACTAGACATCTATATCTAAAGTGACGAATTTAGGAATGGTTCGGAACTATAGAAAACGGGATGCAGAGCGAACTAGATCTTATTTGTCGAATTTAGAACTAATTAGGAACTATCGAATAAGGGATGCAGCGGGGGGCTTGTTTACTTTACATAGATATGTGTTCGGCGGCTCTTTCGTTCAAATACGCTTCTATTCTGCGCTTCGCAGATGCAGTTTCATAACTTGGTAATACAAAACTAAAATTTGTGTTAACATTTCAACATCTTGGGACCATCTGGAATCTAAGAAATAACAGCGAGCACCTCGGAAAACTCAGCTACAGCTAAAGGTATGTAAACGTACATTTCTTACAATCATTCAAACAAATTTCATTTCAAAATAACTTAAAATCGCACACACGGAAGAACCAAAAAGATTGAAAAATCATAATACTTTTTTCTTTCGTCTGTCGATTTCAGAACTGGTTCGGAACTATAGAATTTAGGACTAGTTCGGAACTATCGAAAAAGGTATGCAACGGGGGGCAATTGACACTTCCTAGGACATCGCCATGTTAAATTCGCCAGTTGCTTGCATGCAAAAGAGATTTATCGCGAACCAGTACTGGGTCTAGATGGACTAGAAGCGCCCCAGTTCAGAACTAGAGATTTTCCCCACAGGGTGGTAAACATAAATTAGTTCAGTGTTATTACTTATAAGATGTTTTTATATTCTTAATAGAATCCGTTGTCATGAAGCGGTGTTGAAATTTGAGAGCGCTTCAGCAAGGAAATTAGAAACTCCTCCTCAGGAAGTGGCGCGCCTGTGGGAAGGCAGTGGCCGCTATTAGACAGCCTGCAGTTTCTAAGAGGTCATATTATTCCTCGACCGTAAGTAAGATCCATTAACATTATACATACATATGTAACAACTAGCATGAATCGCGGCTCCCCCCGTTGATCCTCAACCAAATATACTAATTTTCACATTTATAATATTTAGTAGGATTATAACGAAAGTATTTTTACAGAATGCGACAAAGTGTGCCACCATTGCAAACAAATGATGTAAGTGGCGAAATTTTAGACATACTTTGCGATTCGGCCTTGCTTGCGCAGTCACCTCCTCAGTCAACTTCAATTCCATCTGCTCAGTCAACTCCAATTCCTTCTTCTCGGACAAGGAAGCGAAGAGCCGCACAGGTTGACGAGTTAGACACTGTAATACTGGATACCGTAAAAACTTTCCAGGAGGTATGTGCACGTATAGGTAATCGAGAAGAGTTTAGTGCGGAGATAAGTGGTTTTGGGAAAATGATATGTTCTGCTATTTCCAAAATGAAAAAGCCTAACCAAGCGCTAGTGATGCGTCGATGCACTGATATTGTTATGCAAGCGCAGATTGACGAGCATGAAGAAGTACAAGAGGAACAAGACTATTCAACTAAAGACTAGTATAACTATATTATTAAGTATAGACTATTAGACCAATCAGAATGAGCACATTGCGTCCGTATACAAAAATGACATGTCGCACAGAACGTAAAGAGATACCACAATGAGAGCGTCGGTGTAAACAAATCAGTATCATACTTCTCCGCCACGGACGCAGTGCTAATTCTGACGGGCCTACATGTCAATGGTTCAGTGCACACTTTTTGCCACATGAAATTATTACTTAGTCAGTAAAGCACAGCAACTATCTATATATTTGACAGATACAATACTGAGCAAGCCACTTATAATTCAGTGGTACTAATAACTTTTGTCCAGTAAAATAATATTTTAGAGAAATCAAAATTTGTTAGAGCTCTTAACTCGTACCCTGAATTTCAAAATGTAAAAATACAAAAGTCAAAAAGTAATGTATAAGTGCCACTTACTTTTTAAGAGAAATGAATTGTGATTTGTAAAGTAAAGTACATGATACAATAATTTTTAGAAGGTAGTTTCACTTCTTCTTCTTATCCGCCATGTTAGCTATCTTACAGAAAACGTGTTTCGTATTTTTTGTTGTACCAACTTTTTCAAAAAAAAAAAAATCCAGCTTTTGACGTTGGAAAAATAAATAATAATTTTCGAATATTTTTTAATAATTTTCTTCATAAAAAATTAACTGCTGCTTTCGTGGATATTGCAACACACGGAATAGATGTAAGGATACAGCTATAAGAGCCACCGCATACCACAGACTTTATCGGCCGCCTATTTAAATAATAGGGCTCGCTTGAAATATGTACATGAAGATGTATGGAGGTGCGCACACTACACCAGCTTAATCGCTCCGAGAAATAAGTTGTGGTGCAATGGAAAGACTAGCGAGCCCATCTAAATCGGCGGCCAATAAAGTCCGTGGTGTACGATGGATCTAATCCATTATAAACAAGAAATATTGCCGTTATATTTTCATTTTTATGATTTTTATTCATGTGATTAGCAGTGCCAAAAATGTTTGTATTAAATACGTATATTTATATTAAAAATTAAGTGATCAGTTATGAAACATATACATCTTTACATGTTCTGTTAAAAAATATAACAAGCGAAAATCACCAAGTTCTATATCGTAGCAGTGGCCACATTGCGTGTTTGTCACAGACACGGTTTATGTCAAAAATTTTGAAGTGAAACTACCTTCTAAAAATTATTGTATCATGGTAAAGTACAAAAAATAGAGTATATGGACTGCGAGTTTATGAATCTAAATTTATTCTAATTTCATATATCCATGTATATTAATTTGCTGAAAGCTATTTTATTAATGTTAGATAATAGTTAAACAAATGTGCTTGTTCAAAACTGTAACTATCTGAATACCTACAATAAAATACACTACACAATAATAATTGCATACTCAGAATCTTTCTAGGAAGTTTAATCAGACGTTTGGTTTATTTTATTTATTTATATTTACAATAATAATACAATATTATATGCGGGTGCATAAAAAGGCAGAGTTTTCGGGTGAGTAACAAGTTAAAGTTATTGTTTACAAACGTGAGTTTAAATTTTTATTATTATTTTTTACGATTCATAAAAGTTGAGTTCTAAGCGGTCGTTAAATGAAAATATTTATTAATTAATTGTGAAACGTATACATATAAGGTGTGAAAATATACTTTTATAATGATTATGATTATATCTGTGCTGTTTAAATAAAATAACTTTAATAAAATAATTAACCGGCTTGAATAGAAATATTTAAGATTATGTTGAGCTCATAGTGGCTGACTCTATTTTCATCGTCGTTGTGGCTGTTGTTGTGCTATTCGATTTGGATGTTGGTGATGTGGTTTTATACTCGCCAGAGCTAACCCAAGCCAGGACCATCTTTCGTAATGGTTGTTAAATATTTGCTGTCGGGACTGAAGTCCACATCGTCGGTTTCCCTAGAATGTGAGCTGTGTAAATGTAAACAAGTAAGAGCAGCGCTGTCTTCGGCTATGACGAAGGCTTCATACCTTTCATGAACATCTGCAAATTTTACTTTGACAGATTACTGCTTTTGAATACATCTGCATACATCGATAGAGGAGTTACATACTTATATAAAAAATCGCATCTAAACAATCAGAGGTATGGAAGATATACTTTATATGACACCAATCTAAGTGATTTTCACCGCTATGTGATCGGTATGTAAACCGGTAACACAATTTATTGGGTTTAGTTTCCTACATAAAGGAGATATATCGCAAAAACTGGTATCTGAACAATCAGTGCTATAGGAGATAAAGCTTATACAGCATAGATTTTGACGATTTTCTCAGTAGACTTTGTATTATTATTTATAAAATATCTTACGAAATTTATCGGTTTTAGCTATTCAAATAAAGAAGTTTTACAGTAAAATCCCATATCTGAACAATCAGATGTATGGAAGATATATGTTGTAGTCATCCGATCCTTGTTATTTTCACTGTAAGTATTCTGTTAATAATGAGTGAAAATGGTGCGAAATTTCATGTTCCTAGCTGCATAAATGGAGGAGTTATGATAAAAGACCTCATATCTGAACAATCAGTTGTATGGGGGCTGCAGGTTATTGTGACCCGATCTTTATTATTTTCGAGGTAAGTCTTCTGTTGATAATGAGTGAAAACAGCGCGAAATTTCATGGTCCTAGCTACATAAATGGATGAATTATAACGAAAAATCTCATATCTGAACAATCAGTTGTATGGGAGCTATAGGTTATAGTTACCCGATCTTTTTAATTTTCACTGTAAGTTTTCTGTAGATAATTATTGAAAACAGTGCGGAATTTCATGTTCCTAGCTATATAAATGGAGGAGTTATAACGCAAAATTTTATATCTGAACAATCCGTTGTATGGGAGCTATAGGTTATAGTGACCCGATCTTTGTAATTTTCACTATAAGTATTCTGTTGATAATGGGTGCAAGTATTGCAAAATTTCAATCAATACAATCAGTTGTATGGGAGCTATATGTTATAGTGGTCCGATTCTTCCGGTTCCGACAAATGATTAATACATTATAAAAATACACCCACCTACCAAATTTCATCCGGATATCTCGAAAACTGAGAGACTAGATTGCATACAAACAGACAGACAGACGGACAGACGGATAGACGGACATGGCTAAATCAACTCAGCTCGACGTTCTGATCATATAAGTATACATTTTCATGGGTCTATCTCTTTTTGTTCTGGTACTTACAAACATCGGACCAAAGTTATAATACCATTTCATGCTCATGAAAGGTATAAAAATAAGCATTACAACATGCGCTAGGAAAAAGGTGCATTGCTACTCACTTCATTAGGCAGGTCCTGCGCACTAGACCCATGTTGTGCTGTTGCTGAAGCAACTCATGTGTACACCATTTTCGTTGACATGTTCTGGTGCATTACTCCCCTTCTGCCGCTTTTTCTCCGCACCCTCTCCTGCTGCTGTGCTGATATTCAGCTGTAAAAGTTCCAGGTATGTATCTCTTTCTCCCTATTTTGCCTATCTCTTGCGTCCAGTGGACAATGAATTAGTAGTGAAATGAGTGGACGACGCTTTAAAATGCCAGTACCGCGGGGTAGGAAGGAACGCCCAACCAAACACTTCATAGCCGAGTTTTCCTCGGAGCCCAGTAAATATTACAGAAATGTTAAGTAAATGGCAAACTTGTTGTTTTAAAAATTAAATTAAATAATCTGGGAATTCACTCTTTTGTGTATTCAAACCTGATTGCTATCAGAATCGAAATTGTTGGCGATCGTTATTGCGTAATTGTGTTCTGTTTTCCTTTCATATTTGATTTACAAACACAATATGGATTACAAAACACAATTATGCAATTCGGATTGCCACCAATTCCGATTCTGATAGCAATCAAGTTTCATGACAGCTCGGATTGTATGTGTATTTGAAAATTCATGGGATTTGCTCTCACAGGTGAACTTAGTGTTTTTTTGGAAACAAATTCTATGAATTGACAAATCCACTTACGATAATTACACTGAATACACAAAGAGTGAATAAGGCTAATATTAAATTCCTTAAATTTGCGCAGTGACGGAGCCATTAACTTAAAAAAAATATCGTACAACTGCCGGGCCATTCTTGTGTGGTTAAATAATTCCTTTTCATCCATATCCTTTATTTTAAGAAACGTTTTAAGTTGGTATCCGTGCTGAAACCAATCCATGTTAATGGGATGGACACGCCATCTTCTTCTACGTTTTAATTTCCTTCTTTTAGCATATAATTTTATTATATTAACAGCCAGTTTCACCAAACTATTTAAGTGGAAATTAACTTTAATTTTCGAATTTTCGGTTTCACCAATCAATTTTAATTTTGATTTAAGTGACCTATGCTCTGCACTTAAATAAAAGTTAAATCAGAATAACCACACTCAGAGGTGTTACACGTTTAATCACCTGATCATTGTGTAACACAGCGTGCCAAAGCTTTCAAAAGCTCTCAGTACAAATGAAAGCGAAAGCTAGTCCTAGTCTATTTTACAACCACTTTTTACTCACTTAAATAAATAGTTTATTGAAACTGAAAATTATTTAAATGAGAATTAAATACAAAATTAAATTAAAGTTAATTTCCACTTAAATAGTTTGGTGAAACTGGCTGTAAGGAACAAACTCTCAATTTCTTCGTCACTGCTCATGTTGTTAATCACTTGACAATTTCTTTATAAAAAGCGCAATAGTATTCCAATATATAATTATAAATGCAAGTTATTTAATGCACATGCACATGTATTTTAATACTATTTATGTGTTTTCTTACATTTTTCGGGGTTCGCCGGCACCAAGGACTCACACGCCAAGTTGGTCCTCTTGGATAAGTATATTTCGACTCAGCCACTACCTTTTTTTAACCGAACTAATGGATTTTCTTTAATTAATTAATTAATTTCGAACACTTATTATTTCTCGCTCCACTTTTCACAATCTGTAATCCAAGTGCGTTGGTTTTCCGCCATAAGCATATCAGCTGATATCTGAAGTGCGTGTTGCCAGACGTTCAAAACAAAAAATATTGTAGTGTAGAATATGAACCATTTCTTCTTCTTCTTCTTCTTTTTTGGCGCTTTGACCGCCTAAGCGATTTTGGCCGAGTTCAGCAAAGCACGCCAGTCGTTTCTCCTCTGGAGCGTCGGTGTCCATTCGAACGACATGACCAAGCCAGCGGAGCCGCTGTATTTTAATTCGCTGCACTATGTCCATATCGTTGTAAAGCTCATACAGCTCATCGTTCCATCATCTGCGGTACTCGCCGTCGCCAACGCGTAAAGGCCCGTAAATCTTCCGCAAAATCTTTCTCTCAAATACTCCAAGAGCCGCCTCATCGGATGTTGGCATTGTCCATGCTTCTGCGCCATATACCAGCACGGGCATGATGAGTGACTTATAGAGCGCGGTTTTCGTACGTCGAGAGAGGACTTTACTCCTGAATTGCCTACTCAGTCCAAAGTAGCACTTGTTGGCAAGAGTTATTCTACGTTGGATTTCAATGCTGACATTATTATCGATGTTAATGCTGGTTCCCAAGTAAACGAAATTCTCTACTTTCTCGAAATTGTAACTGTCAACAGTGACGTGGGTGCCAAGGCGCGAATGTGCTGACTGTTTGTTTGATGACAGGAGATACTGCGTCTTGTCCTCGTTTACCGCCAGACCCATGCGCTTTGCTTCCCTATCCAACTTGGAAAAGGCAGAACAGACTTCGCGGTTTTTGTTACCGATGATGTCGATGTCATCGGCATAAGCCAGCAATTGCACGCTCTTGTAGTAAAATGTTCCTGAGCGGTTCAGTTCTGCAGCTCTTATTATCTTCTCCAACATCAGATTAAAGAAGTCACATGACAGGGAGTCGCTCTGTCTGAAACCCCGTTTTGTGGCGAACGGCTCGGAGAGGTGTTTTCCAATTCTGACGGAGCTGGTGGTATTGCTCAACGTCATTTTACACAGCCGTATGAGTTTTGAGGGGATGCCAAATTCAGACATAGCGGCGTATAGGCAACTCCTTTTAGTGCTGTCAAAAGCGGCTTTAAAGTCGACAAATAGGTGGTGAGTGTTAATCCTTTTCTCGCGGGTCTTTTCCAAGATTTGGCGTATTGTGAATACCTGGTCTATGGTGGATTTGCCAGGTCTAAAGCCACACTGATAAGGCCCAATCAGTTCATTGACGGTGGGCTTCAGTCTTTCACACAATACGCTCGATAAGACCTTGTAACCTATGCTTAGAAGGCTGATCCCGCGTTAGTTGGCGCGAATGTCGGGTCACCTTTCTTGTGGATTGGGCAGAGCACACTTAAATTCCAGTCGTCGGGCATGCGTTCATCTGACCATATTCTGCACAAGAGTTTATGCATGCACCTTATCAACTCCTCGCCGCCGTACTTGAATAGCTCAGCTGGCAGGCTGTCAGCTCCAGCGGCTTTGTTGTTTTTCAGCCGCGTTATTGCTATACGTACCTCGTCATAGTCAGGCGGTGGAACGTCGACTCCGTCATCATCGACTGCGGGCTCGGGTTCTTCTTCTCCACAACTTTCCGTGCTGCTACCATTAAGTAGGGCGGAAAAGTGTTCCCTCCATAATTTAAGTACGCTCTGGACATCAGTTACTAGGTCGCATTATTGTTCTTACAGGAGTGCGCCCCGGTCTTTAAACCTTCCGTAAGACGCCTAACTCTCTGGTAAAATTTTCGGGCATTCCTCCTGTCTGCCAGCATTTCAAGCTCTTCGCAATCACGTATTTCGGCCTCTCTCTTCTTGTTGCGGCAAATACGTCTCGCTTCCCTCTTCAGATCCCTATAGCGGTTTCACATAGCGCGCGTTGCGCCCGATCGCAGCGTGGCCCTGTAGGCGGCATCTTTTTTCTCTGCAGCTTCCTGACACTCCTCATCGTACCAGT